TTACGCGTTGGGGGGAGGAGGGGAAACACGTCGGAACGAACGGCTAGACAGGGGAAACGAACAGAGATTCTCGTGTTAAATATTCCCCGCCGTCCGTGTTAATCCTTTTCGTAACATTCGCCGGATGAGTTTCTACCCGGGCTCTGACGATGTAAGCAACTTTGCTTTTTCGAACAACCGTGTGCGGCTCTTTTATCGTTGTTAGCCACGAAAAATTACGGTAATTGTATAGAATGGAATGGATGACCACTTGATGGGTTACAATGATTTCAGATCTTGAATGGATCGTTGGGATAGTTTTATGTAATTAATTATTATATTAGGCGTTGATATAGTTTTTTTTTTTTCATTATTTAAAAATTCACGCAATCTTCTAGCACTTCGGTGAGAATTGAACGCATTAAGCTAATGTGAAAGTTGCTAAAATTGCTAAGATTGAATGTATCAAGCTAAAATTGAAAATTCAGTTAAGAGTTGAAACGTTGTCGAGGTCAACGTCTTCAATAATTTCATTGATACGTTTTATCTGATTCTCAAAATCATAGATCTCACAATCGATCCGCTAGGTATTCCGTATATCTGTATAATTTGGATAGACCGAGTCACCGGATCCGATCACTTTTTGCTAAACAACAGTCAACATTCAGAAGAAAGTCACATTTCATTTTCATTGTGGATTCACAATTAGCGACACTGTATTGAAAAACTAGAAAGAAAAATAAACATAAAACTTAAGAAGAATTCTTCATTTACAAACGAAAAAAAAAAAAAAAAAAATGAAAAATATCCGACTCGCCTCGATCGATGATACGCGAACAAAAGGTATGAAATCGCTAGAATACGTGTGACCGTAACAAATCAAAGGTTATCAGGAAGATTCTCAAGATGTTGGAGAGATATGTAATGGTCGAAGTTCATGGCGGCGACACGCGGAACAATAACGGTGCGCAACAATGGCGAAGCTTCCAGCTTCCACGCTATTTCCCCCGTTTTTATTTTTTTTTTTCTTCTCTGTCTGTCGCTAGCCGAGTTGATTCCGATACTCTTCCGACAAACCACTGTACTCCGCTGTTGTCGTTCGGTCGACATCGCGACTCTTAAATGGCGTTTGCTTCTATCTCGGATCGATAGGAATTCGAAAATTGTTCTGGAAATTGCGCGGGAAAAGGACAGCGCGTTATCAAACACGCGGAGACAAAGGTAGTTTCCGCGAGAGGAAAGTACTGGGAGAAAGAGGGAAAAAGTCCTTGGTTTCTGATGATCTCTCCAGGACAGCTACGACGAAGGATCTCTTTCGTGATATAATTTTAGGTTATTTTTCATCGAACTTTATTGCTGGACAAATCTTTATGCAACTTTTTTTATTATTATTATTTGAGGATACAGATGAAGAGAAATAAAACCGAAGTAGAAATTTGTTGATCGAATACTTTTGATACTTTATATTATTATGATACTATGTAGTACCATAACTTTTTTTTTCTCCTGTGCAACTATTAAGCTTTAGTACCTTCTCTCACAGAGTAGCCCTTTCTCTCATAAATCTTCACCCATCGCTCCATAAGTCTCAAGAGATTTCTAAATCAAAATTCTATAACTTGTTTTTATTGTAACTTCTTTTTTTATTGTTTTTTTTCATCATTACATATTATTCTCGCGTATCCCCAACGCAAAGAGAAATATTGTTATTTCAAATTAAAGCAGAATATCTCGTGAAATCTTGCATGAAACAGAAATAGAGCAGGAATGCTAGAAAATGGAGTATATTTTTTATACGTTGACAAATATATTTTTTATCATGAGAATGTGTCGTCCGTAACGAAGGACGAGAGCAATTTCTTATCAAGGCTGGCTTCGATTGAAATTCAAGAATTACATTAGAATAGCCTGGCAACAGAAATTTTTGCATAGAGAACGAAAACAAAATTTCAATAAAATCAAATCTAAATAAAGACAAATATCTGATTTGCTAGCTTATATTGAATTTGACAACGTTGCATTGTGAAATGTAATTTTGCGGTTTACGCGACGAATAAGTCGTCGCGCGCTTGTGTCTAGCACGCAAGACGACAATAAATTACTCAAAAATTGAAAAAAATTACTAGAAAAATAATTCTTTCTTTTGTAGAACCAATTTTAACCCATTTAATTAATTATTAATTCGCTAATTTTCATCGTTTTTTCATGTTTGACACGGTGAAAGTAACTCAGAGAAACTTTTACACAAAGTGATTATTTCAACATTTTCCGATTAGTCTGTCTTTCTTTTCCGATGATTCGTACAGGCTTGCTATTGTTTACAAGCGTACGCGAGAAGTTTTATCCAGAGCGCGACGAAGAAGACTATGAACGCCACGATGTCTATATCGATATACGTATTGGTACCAAGGTTGATGAGCCAAAGTGCTACGAAGATGCGAGACATCTCTGTTACGGATCACATACTCGGTCCATCAAACGAGATTGTCCAATAAATTGTACGGTGTGTCATTGATCAGCTTTCGTAGCTCTATCATGTTCCTTTTGTATCTGGAACACAATTATAACAAAAGTCAAAAGAATAAAAAGGATGTATTGCTCGATGTTTGTGACACTTTGATAGTATAACTTTGAATTTCAAATTTTATATATATATATATATATAATATATATATAATTTATATATATATATATTTATATATTTATATATATATATATATATATAAAGTATTATGTGTGTCGGGCGAAACACGCAATTTTGTTGAAAATCCTCTATCGCAGCATGCTAATGATGGATGAAGTGACACATTTTTATGCTCCAATCAATTATCTATTTGGAATCATTTTAAAGATATTAAGTTTCGAAAAGAATGAGAAAAATGTTTTTCTTTTTTTTTTTT